GCAAAAGACGTGGTTAAGATCAACATGTTGCGTCATGAGTCTGAGAGCATTTTCGACTGTTAAGTTGTCTGTGTTATGAGCTTGTAGTACAGCGACTCACTTTGAGGGTCGTGGTTTCGGTCTGAGCAGAACAGATCGATGTTGAAACTTTAGCTTTAACATTGATACGATTCCCACACAGCAAAGTCTGTATAGAACATGGATATGTAAGATGACACTAGACGCCGTGAACGATGATTCTCACTCAGTCACTTACATGAGGATCAGTGCTTGACTTCCCAGCTGACGGTACATAATTCATATCAAAAAGTTTGGTTCGGCCGTCTCTTCATTCTACCCTTGATATATCTCCCTCACAAGGACCATACAGGATCAGGCAGGTGGTGGAGAGTTTTTAAGAGAGCCATGTGTAATCGGATATGGTGTAACGGCTAACATTGCCGCCTCTCAGCCTCTGGACGGTGCGCGGCAGCTCGGGGTTCGATTCCCCGTATCCGAACTATTGAGGATTCCGATTCCTTTTTCACATATTGTTAGAAAATTGACCGCGCGTTTCATGATACACACGTTTTTCCAATTTTAGCCTCGTCTCACAACATGATGTACTTGACTCGTGTCCTCGCTCATTGGTACTACTCATTCTGGCATTACAAGTCTAAATTTCATCCTTGTCAGCTCTAGTTAGGCTCTGGGCGTATATAATCAAGCCATTGGCCACAGATCCGGGTCAATACCACAAGTTCTAGATTCATATATCATATTGTTCCATGCCTTACAGCTGTATTATACATACACCATTAACATAGGCATCACGTATTCTACGCCTTGGACTCTACTAGAAGTCGCTTCCGTTGGATCCAGGGTCTGTGCGCCACATGCCGAAAAGGTCAGTTTCGTACCCTCCCTAAAGCGAGAAAATTTAATATTAGTACTGCATGTAGGTTCACGAGGCCGAGCAATTTAAAATCGAACCTGCTTTCCGTTTACTCCTCCAGTGTTGCATTGGTCGACTGGGAGCCTAAGGAGGCGGTTGCAGTTCCCGTCGACAATGAAGGAACCGCTATTAATTTGTTCAAAATCAATCATCAGCGTATACGCTAGTCAGAGATGGATTTGTACGGCGTACCCATTGATGGCGGAGCCGCTGACGAGGACGGTAAATGTGCCGTAGTTGTAGCGCGCCTATATGGACCCATCGGATAAGAAGAATTGAAATGGAAAAATATGATGCTGACCCAGATGGTCTGGCCGTTAGAAACGTGAGTTCCGATGGCATGATTGCTACGAGGGCGAATCAGCAATGCAGCTAAATGCGAAGACGTTATATACTTACTTGCACCAATCATCGATGACGGATACGATGGGAGCACGATCGGCCTAGTAGGAAGTGGTCAATTGAACACAGGACGTGCGCAAACAATATAGGATGGAGATACCTTGGTGCCCGTATTGTAACAAGTAACTACTTCCGTACCAGCGCGCTTCGCAACATCGAGAGTCGTGGTATTTCCAGCTAGTAACGGTCTCAGCCGCGTTTGTTTGCGTTCAGCTAGACTGACCTTCAGTAACGCCAGTTTCAACGCTGATCCACTGCGTCAAACGATGATATTTAATTGTGAATTCCAAGTTACGCCGAGGGAAATAGCTAAGTACCTTTAGGGTGGACGCAGGCGTAGCGTATACAGTCCCGACGGCAAGAGCAAGGAAAGCAGTGGTAAGGAATTTCATCTCTTGTAAAAGCTGGTTATGCTTCCTCCAGGGTGTGGGCTGCTTGTATTTATACCTAACGAAGTTTGTCTCGTCCCAACCGGAGCAGAGAGAAACCTGTACACACCTTGGCCTCGAAGTTGGTACAGGGTAAATAGAGTGACCTGGTGCCAAGCACAGTGAAGTCGTAGTTCTTTGGCAGCAAAATGGTTGAGGCTGCCGCCACTGTCTTTTTGCTGTATTGGAATATGCGACTTACGAGCTTAAACCATAGGAGTCCCCGAGGTTTCAGGGGGGCCAAGCATGAAGTAAGAGTACTTCAGCGAAGGCTCCAACTTGAGACAGAGGAACAGAGTCACATAAGCGGTCCGGTCAGTTGAACACGAGCATCGCTTGGCATTATGGGTGCGATCTAGCTCTGTCATTACCGCTTAACATTCGCCAATAGCTTCGGGTTTCAACGTAATCCTAGATGTATGATGACAGAAGACCATCCGTATAAGGTGGATACGCAAACTTTCTAGGCAAGGGTTTGGGCAAGGGCCGATAGATGAAGTGTCAAGCACGTGCGCGGTGATGAGAAGCGGTTTGATCTTATCAAGATCATGATTACATGGCTCATGCATCATATCATGCATCATGGTTTCTTCCCTCTTCCACGTATGAGGATGCGTGAACTCGAACTTGTCTGTCGTTTGCACTCGCCGCATGTTGCAGTTGAGCATGATGTTACATGTCTCAAAATTCGACGGCATTTGTTATTGAATATAACAGTTTCGATCCAGGCGTGCGTGTCGAATTTTGATCCCACTTCACTTACTTACATGCGTGTACCTGAAATCCGTTTCAGCGCCAAATGATAACAAGGCATCGAATTCCCTGCCCTGCGATACCTGTCTTTAGTTAGGCCATCGATGCATCAGCGCTCAGCGCTCAGCGTCTACAAAACATCAACTTGACCACATGACAAGGGTCATCTTTTCCTGACTACTCGTGGGAATACTAGGTCCTTTCCTTCCTCTTCTCTTTCACGACAACCGCACGCATATCTGAAGAACTCGTCACCTTGATTTTGGAAACTTCCTATAGAACCATGCCTGTCTTAGAGCTACACGCATCAGATGCTGTCGTATATACTTTGGGCATTTGGCTTCTGGTCCACTTGCTTCGTACGGCATTCTCAACGGTTGCAAGGCGCAGGGATGGAGTACAGACAACATTACTACGTGGTCCTCCAAGCGAGCACTTCCTATTCGGTGTCGCTCGTGTTATGCACGACGCTGATGACTCTTCTACCCTTACGGAGCAATGGGCGAAGAAGTATGGATCTGCATTCCGGATGCCCATAGCCCTTGGATCATCGAGGATAATTTTATTCGATCCTCAGGCTGTGACGCATTTCTACTCCAGAGAGACCACCGGGTACATTCAAACACCACTTGGTAGGGCTTTCATTGAACGATTGGTGAGTGTCCTGCTTCCTTAAAGCGTAAAACTCTTTGACAATGTTTGCAGTTTGGGCGAGGACTATTGTGGGCTGAAGGCGAAAGCCATAGAAGGTGTGTGTTCTGGCATTTCCTCTTGCAACGTTTGTCATCGTCACGGATATTAGGCAACGAAAAGCTCTATCACCTGCCTTCAGCAATGCAGCAATTAGAAGGTTGACATCAGTTTTCTACAATTCGTCGTACAAGGTCTGTCATTTTCTATGCCCGAGAGTTTCTTCCCACTATCCTCACATCATAGATTATACACAGCTCAAGGACAACTGGGATGCGCTTCTAGATGCCGCACCTGAAGAAGGAGAAGTAATCGACGTTCAGAAATGGTGCGCTTATGTCTTTACGACGTGAAACATCTGTTCAATCGTTTGTTAGGATGAACCACGTCTCGTGAGCTTTACTCTCTAGTCCATCTCATCGTTCTCTTATCGACTTCCTACATATGTACAACAGGCTCGATTCCATAGGAATTGCCGGGTTTGGACACGATTTCGGGTCCTTAGACGGCAAGGTACCGATCGTTGTTAAGATCTTCGAATCCCTGAAGCCTGGCACAGGCGCACTATCTCTGCTCGTTGACCTACTCTCTCCAGTCTTGCCTTTCTTGCTTTCAATCACTCCTCAGAGTAAGCAATGGTCGGAATTACATGGCGCTATGGCCAAGATTGCCGATGACTTGCTCGAGAGGTCTCGGAGAGATCTGGATGGTTCGTTACCTGAAAAGGCGGAGGAGAAATCTCTCATTGGCCTTCTAAGTATGTCGGAATAGTAGGAATCTATCCCAATTCGTGTTCTGACCATCTTAATAGTCAAGGCAGAAAGTGCGAACACGCAGCTTCCGATGACCCAGGAAGAAATTATGGCCCAGGTGAGGAAGCTTGGTGGCGACGAAGTGGTTGATATATTGACAATTTGATAGATGGTTAGTAATTTCTCTGCGTGGGCACACTCTCACTCTCTACTTTCAATAGAACGTTCTATTACTTGCCGGATATGAGACGACTTCTAGTAAGCCCTTCACCTTATTTCTCAAAATAAGGATTGATCTTCACATTTAATCAATAGTCAGTCTGACAGTAGGCTCTACACAGCCTGATGGCTATTGCAGTGCTGATCGTTGCGTCTAGTGGGCATTGATTGAACTCGCGAAAAAGCCCGAGAAGCAACAGAAACTCCGTGAAGAGTTATCGCGATTCTTGACTACAGATCCCACTTGGGAGCAGCTTGTGTCTGACTTGCCATTCCTTGATGCCGTTGTTCATGAGGTTCTTCGGCTACACCCTCCCGTATCTGATACCAACAGAATCGTACGTCTGTCAACTAATCATTTCGCATGAGTAGCAACTAACGAATCGACGTTGGTTAGGCGACGGAAGATGACATCATACCACTGTCTACTCCGGTTGTCGCTTCTTCAGGAGAACTTATTTCAAGCATCATCGTTAAGAAGGGAATGCTCGTATCTGCGCCAATTCGTGCGATTAATAGATCAGAGGCATTTTGGGGTTCCAACTCCAAGGATTTTGAACCGGAGCGATGGCTCAAAGATGCTGAGATCCCCGCAAATCAGTTCCAAGGGCACCGTCATATCCTCACGTTCTCAGACGGCCCGAGAATATGTCTTGGGAAGAGCTTTGCATTAGCAGAATTCAAGGTTCTGTTGTGACGCTTTTATATTGATAATTAATCTTTCGGACCGCTAACCGTTATATTAGGCAACGCTTTGCGTGCTTATCCGCAACTACACCTTCGAGCTGCCTGGTGGATCTGATACAAAGATCGAGAAACACAATTCCATCTTACCGAGGCCTAAAGTAGCAGGTCAAGATGGGGCGAAAGTTCCAATGATTGTTCGATATGTAAAATAATCATCTGTTTCTTTCGGTTTCGCTCGAATGAAAGCGATGAAAGTACATTATCAGACACCTAGATGTGTCAATAGGAGTGGTCGATAAGTTCACGGGGCCGCTTACTCTGGAGTACTCGGAGGAGGCGAGTATGTGTCAAGAAATAGATTTCCGTGTCCTTTGTCCAGAGAGCCTAATGTATATGTAACGCCATGGCCAATTCTACTCACCCATCACAACGAGCTAGCCGCAACAATATACATCTGTTTCGCCGAGAGAGAATCTTCAGGAGGGAAATTAATCTGAGGCCATGGCAGCGTCATATCGAGAGATGTCATGGCAAACTAGAATAGATATATATTCAGCCTCAGCAACAGGAGAGCTAACTCATCAAGACTCAAGCCCGACGCCAGTGCCTCATTGTGGGGCTAACTTAAGTGCTT